GGACAACCATGATGACACCTCTGAACAATAGCTGATTGGGAACATTTTTTTTTTTTTTTGTGGGACTATGTTGGCCTTTCAATGTTGGAGTAACCAAGCCGCGAGGGCTTTTTCATCCCTTTATGTAGTGATTGAATGCTGTCAGCTATCGGAAGTTCTAATTAAAGGCTGATGGCAAACCATCTTTTTAACTTTGAGGATAGATGACAGACCATTTTGCTATCCAAAGAAAGAGAACCTAAAGGTGGCGAAGTTGACATTTGGTTTGAGAATTCATCACGCCCAATAAATGCAATTTGTGGAGTAACTCCACTGATTCAACTCAGCAAAGCCTTGTTCCAGCGCACGTACATGATACGTGCGAGCTGATTCTTGTGTGTCATTTTTGTATACCATATTTTGGTTCATTCTGAACAGTAGGAAGATGTAATCTTGGAACCTTTTTGAAGCAAGGTGTGGCAACCTTTCGAATTATACAGCAATGATGCTGCTCGGTAACTTACTAGTAATATTTTATACTACTATACAGAGGGCCTAGGAAAAAGGGTCACATCACGGGGACAGATAAGCCTGCAAATCAAAATTGTGACCTCTCTCTCTCAATAGGAGTTTGACTTCCTCGGCATATATACATGGAGCTCAATTTCAGTTTATACAAAAAAATAATAATAATAATAATAGTATATGTTTTTTAATACCTTGCAACCATAAACTTTTCCAACTAATAAGATTTAAGAAATAGACGAAGTCACGACAACTCATACTTGACCTAATCGTTATCCTTCTCAAAGCAAAGCCATATTTTCTTTCGGCCTTTTGTCAATTGTACGTAAAAGAAGAGGCCAAGTCCAATTTTGCCTTGTCCATTCATCTCACCGCCAGTATTTGTCCAGGCCCGCCTTTTTTCTTGTACGAACATTAGGTCTTTCCATTGTGACATGCTCCTCCTCCAAGCACTCGAGTGGACTGGACGGCATGAAGCGAATGGGATAGTTGCAAAAAAATATTTATCATGGATTGCTTTTTCCTTGTTTTCTTTGTTGTCAGGACTCAGGGGCTGGCGAGGCTTCCATGTAACTGATCTGACAATCAAATATTGAGTGTAGGACAACCTGCAAACACAAATATATGTATATATATGACTAAAATCAAACAAAAGTTATCTTATATTTGCGCCAATCTTTAATTTGACATCGCCTAGGCTGTCTTTAGGCAGGCAGATTAGCTTCTTCCTTTCCCCTACATTTCTCGTCCTTCACAAGTCCCTTTTTTTATATTATATATTTTCATATGGCAGAGGGCCCAAGAGTATAAGAAAAAGAAGAAGACAATATGTAAAAGTTTACTACAATTATTTATCAAACTTCCAATAATTTATGCACACACACACATGGATTAGGAGAAATGGTGGGCCACAGACAAAGCATGCCTTTCAAGACCAAGGCAATCTCTGAATGCAATACGTTCACTTCAGGTACCTTCCAATGCTAGCTAGCTACCCATTTATACTAAACTCAACCTCTATTTTGTTTTAATATACAAATGAGGTTCAAGCATAAAGAGAATCGGGGAAGAGAAACTTGCAGACGTCGAGATCAAACTCCAATTTTGTTGCAATTCAATTATGAATTATTGTAGTTAAACCATGTCTCTCTCTCAAGCATTTTAAAAACTATTAGTTTAGTTTTATCCACACTCATTATTCGATGAAATAATAAATTATTAATTATAAAAATTAAAGAGTTACCTTTATCTAAATCTCGAAGAGAAAAAAAAAAAACATGATAAATGAATGTGGTTTGATTTGAAATTGAGAAAAATTATAATTATAAAAATTTAAAAATATTGAAATTCATCTCATATGTAAAAAAAAAAAAAAAAACAAAACTATCATCATGCTAATAATACATAATATTTTATTTCATCCTGTGATTTTTAGTTAAATTTTTCATCTAACTCGTCACATCAAGTCCAGTCAAAATCATTATTAATAAAAATAGATAATTTATATTTTTATTGTACAATGTAGTAAAAAGAAAATTTCATATTTCTAAAAGAAGAAAAATTGTACAATGTGGTATATGGGGATCTCATGTCAGGCAAACAAGTCACTTGGAGAGGATAGTACTAAATCGAGTCCAACTTTCACGTGCCTTCCACATGCTGGAAAACATGGTGTGTCGGCTGAGCTGTTACATCTCTCCATCTGACAACTTAAAAAAAAAAAAAACTTTTTCTCTCTTCTTTAGCCTCTTCGAATCTGATCACGTCACAACACTTAGATTAGATATGTATTCAATTTTCTTTTATTGATCAAATTCAGAAACATATCGACGGCCGTGATTAATCTTTAGTTCTTTCGAATCGACGGTGGTGGTAAATTCTCAAAAATGTCTGTGACATGGCACCATCTCAGCGTTTTGAGTGAGCTTGTTTGGTGAAGTAGGCAGGTGACCGCCATTTTGAAAGTTGAGAGAAATTAAAGAAAAGAAATAAAAATTAATTCCCCACCTGAAATAAAACTTATATAAATTTTTTCCATGATGTTTATAAATTGTTTATAAAAATGATTTAATAAATAATTTAAATCAATAAATTAATAAAATTTAACATGAAAATTAATAATATATAAAAAATATAAAAAATATTATTTATAATTTAAATTTAATCAATATTTATTCAATCGTAAATATTTTATTAATATTGTTATTAAAAATATCTATTTAAATATATATTAAATTTTTTTAATTTTTTAAAAATTCACATACTTATTTTATGTAACAAAAATTTTCAATTTATCAATTTATCAATTTTAATTTTAATTTAATTATTTTTAATAAAAAATTTCATAATTTTTATTTAAAAAATTCTATTTAAATTTTTTCCTCCACCCTGAACCAGTCCCGAAGGCCAAAATAGGAGATTTATTTTTATCAAAATAACACCAAACTCCTTCAATTTTCCCTCTCATTACAGTCAAGTCCTGCCCCAAAGGATACTTCCTTGCTCTAAAAAACCTCCAGCCGTTTAATGCACATATGTTAAAAAATATTGACATGGCATTTTTTTTAATTAGGTAAATTTTATTAATATTTATAATAAAAATTTTAAATATTAATTTAAAAATATAATAAATAATATAAATATTCATTTTCATTAATTAAAAATATTTTTCACATTTATACTTCTATATATACTGCTTATTATGTCTCATGTGATGTTAGACATTAATTACTTGTATTTGTTAATAATTTATGCTCAATTAATAATAAATTGGCACGTTGGATGTTGTTGCCGACTGATTAAATGTTTGGGTTAATGTTTACAAACATAAGTAAAAAACAAAGACCATCCGATGATTAATTGTGTGTTGATATTTGGCAAACGTCGTTCCCTTCCACCTGCTACATGCATTTAAAATGTTGGATTAGTTGTTGCGGTCTCTTTTGACTCGATTTAATGTTTATCCAAATCAAGCAAGACCCGAAAATTTCTGAAAAAAAAAAAAAGAGTTATAAATTCTATGTGTTTCACATGAATTTGCAAGCAAACAATGTGGATGATGTCGATTTTTAATTGATATATTATTGAAATTAATGTTTATAATTTATAGATTTTAGAGAATTTATATATGCGATATTCTTTTAAATAAGTATTAAAGTAAATAATTTAAAAATAATTTAAAAACTTATTTCTAAAAAAAACCTAAGATGACATAGGGAAATACAACATAGATTGAAGATCTTGACCATGAATTGTATCTGTTTCTAATCAAATTCAAATTTTCTTTTGAAAAAAATGTGATACTTTTTTTTTAGTTAAATTGGGTGAAAATCATTCAAAAATGCTAAGAATTCTAAATTTACCTAGTTTCAAAGAGATTGAAATAAAAATTCATTTTTAAATATTTTTTCAGTATATCGAATCATTCTAAATTTTTTTTTCTTGAACTAAATAGCCTAAACTAAACCAATTTACTCAGTCAAACCGGCAAAAATAATTTTTTTTTGGTATAAAAAATTGTAAATATTAAGATATGAATCCCAAATTTAATGAATATCACATTTAGTGATAATTATATAAATTAATTGAAATAACCTTGATTTAACATAAAAAAAAAAAGATTTTGCATACATAATCGGAAGAGTGAAAAAAAAAATTGAAACTAAAGTTATAGCAATGTTATAAATTATGGGTTAAACATGAAATGGCAACATTATGGAGCTCATAGGAAACAAAAGAGGGGGTCAGCATATGATTTACAATCAGTAGCGTGTAAACTAGGCAGAAATGAGTTGGTGATTTTGCTTTAGAGAGAAGAAGAAGATTGAATTGAAGTTGGGGGGACCTAAAATAATTGTGAGCAGTAGCTTTCTTTAATTCACAGCATGCTTACCAGTCTCCAATGAACCTAAATAATGGTCCTGTTCACGCCTGTTACTGAAACTTACTTGTGTTGTAAACAAACAAACATAGATTCAAGTAGATTTGCGTTATCATGTTTATTTTATATTAAATATATGTAAAATATAAAAATTATCATATTATAATTTATATTTATTCATTAAATACGAATTTTTTTTAATTTTTATTAAATTTTACATCTATTATATCGTCTTTTTTATTTAAGCATCTAATTAAGGTTTAGTTTCAAGTTCTAACGCCAAGTAATAGTAAGTAACTCACTTCTATTTTGTCCTTTTCTCTTTTTTTTTTTTTATAATTAACAATTTTGAAGACTAAAACAAGAAATTTAGAGTTATAAGGAAACTTGCAGAAAGAACAGCACTTTGTTCATGTTTGACAAACTCAACACTTCCCTACCAAAAGACTTGACAAACTCAAACCCCCCCCCCCCCTCCTTAAAAACCTTCGTCTCCTCTATTCATCTCCCTCCTCAACTCCCAGCCTCTCTCTTTCTCTATTTCTTTCTTTTCAGTTTTACATTTCTCTTCAACTTTCTTAAAAAGAAAATCAGGAGCTGAGCCTGACATATATATATGGGAAATGGATATAATCAGCATCTTCACCACCAAAACCTGCATCTTAATCTCAAGGGAACTTTTTTGCCAATGTTGTGTTCAAAACCATCCATAAAAGATGTGACCCTTCCCAAATGGCAAGATAGGTCTGCGTCTTTGTCTGATGACCCTTTGTCTCCAAAGATCAGTTGCATGGGACAAGTCAAGAGGAATAACAGGATTGTTGGGTTTCCTGCAGCTTCTCACAAACTCAATATCACCACCAAGAATAGCGGCAATGACAGTATCAAGTATTTCAAACTCAAGAAACTGTTTTCTGGCAAGAATCTGACTAGCAGCCCTGCCACCACCACCATCAATTGCGGAAGAAAAGAAGTGTTTGTAAATAGTACAAGCCGGTCCAAGAATGGTGATGGAAAGGAGAATTCTGCTTCAATCAACATTGAAAATATGGATCCCCCCTTGCCTGTGATCAAGAGAGTGCCAAAACAAGGTGATAAAGGAGATGGAGATACTCTTTGGCAGAGGAGATCGCGTGGGGTTGCATTGAAAAGCTTACAGCTTCAACAGGTTCAACTAAACAGACATCAAGAACCAACCACAGCTTGAAAAGTAAAAGAAAAAAAAAACTAAGAGATCAGTTAATGCAATAGGGGTAATGTATATGATTTGTTCTTAAAATTCCAATTTTGATGATTGTTGTTTCACTTCTGTATTTCAAGAGAGGCATCAAATTATGGTAATGCTAATCAAGATGTATATGAATTATTCATCAATGTTCAAAGATTTAGTCTTTAATCTCTCAAAATTATTGATAGACCCCACTACTATATTTTCTTGCCGGTTGTTATGTCAATGCCAAAATCAACTGAGTATCCATTAGGGGTGTCAGATCAAGTTCCTATTCCAGATAATTTTGTCACATAAATCATTTCTGACATCGTGATGTTGCTCAATGTGAACAAGGGGCGGTGGGGAGAAGAAGGTGATAAAATGAATTCTAAAGCATGAGGCTTTGACCTGTACTAACATTTGAATAACAATGTTAGGGAGGACAGAAGAATGTGAAAAGGATTTGTAAATGAAACTGAGTGGTCAAGGGTGATGAACGTATCGAACCACCAGACAAAATCATGTCTCAATACAATACGTTTTACCATGTGGAAAATGTAAAGTTAACTGAGAAGGAAAAGGAATGGGGGGGTTTCTGGGCAATTTCCATATCTGTGTGGTAAGTTCCCGAGCCATCACTTGATAAAAAAGTAGATAATAGGTTAGATTTGAAATGAATTATGAAAGCGAAATTAGTGATTGTTATAGTGATTTTTCTGGAGAAAAGTTTTAGCTGTCTTTCATATTTTTTTTTTCCTATTCTATGACAATCTCATTTTACTTTTGAAGAAAATCCTATAGAATGAGAAGGCACTTTCATGTGCAGTACCAGTGGCAACACAACACAAGTATGGATGAAGTATTGGCCCGTTCATCATCTGCAGACTGCTAAATGGCTTAATGCATTTATGTATTATCCAACAAATCTCCTCTTTCGCAGGCAATAAAGTGGGGAATCTGGCACAAAAGTGGCTTGAAAAACTAAACATTGCTGTGTCCCTGGTGTTAAAATTGCAATTAAACTGATAGCAACGTACAAGTCAGACCTGTAATTAACCTACGACTAGATTAATAATAATAAAGGACATTGACTGTTAGACCAATGGCTTCTCTATCAGTTTCATGTCCTAAAGGCCAAGATAACGGTCACCGGTCATCAGCAGTCACTTTAATAGATAAAATAATTTAGGAGCATTAACTCATGTGCAAGGTAGTTTGCTAGGATTAGGATGCCTAACGTCAACCCCTTAGATTATTGCCGGTTAATTCTTAAACCCAATGATATTTGTAGACAAAAACAAGATATCCAGCATATGTAATGTTACCACATAATAATATAGGATTACTTTATTTATTTGTTTGTTTATTTAATTTTCAAATTCACCAAAACTACTTTCTTTCATGTCCATTGTCAAATTAACAGACATAAAAGGGACAAGACAGCAAAAATAGACAAAAGACATCATAGTGTGTGTGTGTATATATATATATATAGAAATTGAAATGCAAAACCAAATAAGATAAGTGTACACAAAAGTCCCACGATTGTGAATAATTCTCCAAAATGTTTCCAACAACACTACTTACTAGTACTGGCTTTTTAACTTCCAAACCACATGTCCACTATACAATACGCCTCCCATCATAGCCTCACTGTAGTAGATCAAAGAAAAATATGCAATATTTGGATTGAGGTGGTCTGATACTCTATGAATCACAAGGCAACAAGAATATTTAAAGATTATGTACAAATAGCAAATTGTCAAATAGGGCATTGATTTGTGATATTCTAACCAAAGGTTGCTTGCACGCCAGAGTGTTGTACTTTTGCCTTCTCTCTGTTAGGTTAGGAGAGGACTTTGTAGTTTCATGGGTGACTTTGTGGCTTCCTATCCAGTCGGCATTTGCCAACCCCGTCCACCTCCGCCTCCCAAAAAATAATATTAATAATATTATACATGACAATTTTTAAAATATGATAAAAAAATATGAACACATATTATTTAAAATTTTAATAAAATTTTTTATGAATTTAGCAAAAATCAAAATATTTGACATGTCAACATTAATTATAATATATCTATATTAATTATCACATGATAATTTTTATATTTTATACATGCTCAACACAAATTAAATATAACATGAACAGAGATTTATAAGTTCTAAATAATATTTTGTTATTAATAAGTAAAGGTAAGAAACACTCGGGGATAAAGATCCAAGTGAAAGCTACAAACACCCATACGAGTAACTTTTTCAGTGAGATATAAAAAGCAAGAGAACGTGATAAATGATTAGAATAACATCACTCGATAGTAAAAAAAAGGGTGAGATACAACTCAAAATGAAGGTGTAGAAACACAACTGGTCTCGCACTTCTGAGGAAACGAGTACTTAAGTTGTATCTCATGATGTAAAGCATATACAGGTTACCTCGTCACAGACATACATGTTCCACGATTCGACAAGCTCTTGACTCTCGTTAAGAATCTGATTTCTAACCTCATATTTCTAAAACCTACGTTTTGTACAAACACAAAAAGTTACAAATTCCTAGTAAACAGCAACTAATTAGACAAACTCTTCAAGATTAACTTGGATCTCTTCCTTATGCGAATAACATTTAGCATTAACTCTGTTCTTTATATGGTGTCCAGATTAATTTGCTAACATCAACCTCAAGACCACCTCGGCCAGCAGCTTTTAGATGACGATCTAAAACCTTGGGATCTGCACAGATAACATGCTGCCCTTTCCTATACTGAATCAGTTCTAGACTCTGCAAAGTGGTCAAGATATCCTCGGCCTTTATGGCCGTCATGTCACTGAGCTCCTGGAGAGATATAGATTTATGTAGAAATTTTGTCAAAACAATTCAGCGACACCACTATGCAATGAATTTTGTACAATAAGCGTTAACCATAATTCTAGGAGAAATTGCATAATAGATACAGCTATTCAGCAAAATCTCATCAACAAATAAGAATAATTAATTTATCACAAGGCAACATCAAACCTATTATCAAGTCAGGCATTCACTTTTTCATTTTTTTTTTTCTAATTTCCAGATGGAAAATAATCTAAACCACAAGTGTTATTTTACTATTTTAGGATGTTCATTTTTATTTTCTAGGTTAGTGCCCCTTCCATGCTCTGCTAACCATTCTAAAGTGAAAGCAAGCAAGCCCTCAAGCTTGACCCAAAACATACTAGGATTCAATTTGTTGATTGCAGAACAAAGTCAAGCGGTTTGAGGGAGTAATCAAGCAGACCATGTTTGAATATGTTAATTTTCAGCTCCATAGCTCATGAGCCTTTTCAAAGTTTCTTTTAATATTATTTAATACGCAATTAATCTAGTCTTTTCATTCAAAATTGAATTTAATTTGATGATAGTTAAGTCCTATTGAGTTGAATCCAAGCGTTTGACCATGTGGGCTTGACTCAACTCAATCACCCTCCAAAGCAAGCACATAAATTATTATAAGGACAAAGCAGAGAGAACTGCATAAAGCACCCAATAGATTTTTAATACAGCTTCAGGTAGTAATACCTTGATGGAAATATTTCCTTTATGCTTCTTCAAGATGTCTAAAAGAACCCTCGTCCAATACCCTCTGTAGCTCAACAGCCCTAGGTCGGAAAGTGGTCTTTCAGGTGTGCCAACTTTACCTTCCTTCTTTGAAAGTTCATATGCTGGTCCATAACAAAGACAAAATAAGCAATAAAATTCAATCAGTAAATAACCAATAGGATGAAATGCAAAAGTAAGATAAAGCTAAGTATAAAAAGCATTTGTATTAAATATCCATTAGGTTACTAGAAGTATAAAAAGCATTCGTATTCAAGATCTATTAGGTTAGTAGAATGTAAATATGAATTTGATAAAGTCAGAAATCTAGAGGGGATGTTATGAGGGTCATTGATACCAACAAGCCAATTCTACTTGATGTACTCCACAGTAATGTTGGATAACAATATGCAGCAGCTCATGATTCTAGTTAACTAACTTGAGAACAATTTCAGATAACCAAAATAGTGTTATACTGTGAGTCTAACTCAAAAGGAGAACAGTGAACAAAAAAAAAATACAATAACTCAATAGGAGAACAATACATTCACATTTAATGCTAAGATTAATAATCATCTTTTTGTGCTCTCTCTCTCTCTCTCTCTCTCTCTCTCACACACACACACACACACACACACAAAAAAAAAAAAATACAAATGGCTCACATATTCTGATCCATTCATAAAATAAGCAAGAAAAAAATAAAAAAAATTAAAATAGCAGGCAGGGAGCTTACAAAAGGCAATTAAAAACTTTCCATAGCCTTTCCTTTGGTATGGGGGAAGGGTTAGGATACATGCCAAATTATATGATTCCTCTGAATGTTTTTCCTGCATGATCAGACACAAAATGCTAAGATATTTGCTTGTGTTGGGAAGAACAGTCTTGACAAAGGGAAGGTAACAACGAAATAACAAATGCAGAAATTGGCAACATTTTAAGCACTGATTTTCAAATATAAAAACTATGGAAAGTTTTACCAGACATGCTATGGGTTGAAGAAGCAACTGAAACTCCCAAAATACAAATGGATAAATAATTAATTCTACTACTTGAAAGCTTCTAATTTGTTCTTCAAAAAGAAAAAAAAAAAAAAAAGCTTCTATCTTGAGGCTACAAAGGCAAGAAATTCTGAATGCACCCTAATGCAACTATAGCTAGTAACTTGCAGTTACAAAATATTAAAACAGCCACAAACATATAGAGATTCGTTATAACCCCACATTGCAACAAAGAGCAACAAAAATGCACTAGAAATTACCTTGGAAAAGTATCCAACCATATGGCAACCTCGATCATCACATTCACACAACACATAAAACAAAAACAGGTCAACATCATAATAAAGGGTCTTGTGGTCAAGGAATAACTTCGCCAAATAACAAAGATTCTGCCCATAAACTTTGTTCTTTTTGCCATCAACCTGTTTCAAAATATTTGATCAAAGGAACATGAATGTCAACAAAGATTAAAAATCTGCAGCATTCTACGTCAAGACATTATGTAGAAGGAAAATACAGTATCGGGGCTAGAATAAAAGAAAAAAGCAGAATCACATATTTCCACATTCATAAGCCAGAGTTAAGAAATAATTATCTCAAAGCAGACACTACATTTTTCAAAGTATATTTTAAGATGATCTCATGATTATTTGATTCATATACAATCAAACAGTTGGGAAAATTGTTTACTTAATTAGCATTGAGGTAGGATTGAAGACCAGAATCATATAGATTTACTTAATTAGTGCCAAGAAAGGCCCTTTTCTTTTTCTTTTTTGAGTTTTGGCACCATAAGTAGCAGCGGTAAAAGCTATTCCATAACATACCTCAAACATTGACAGCGTACCACTTCGATATATTTCGTCCCCAGGGGGATGCTTCAGATCACACTTTCTCTACAGATTAGTGTTAAAACAAAGAGTTAATTATTTCAGCTCTACAAATTAGTATTTAAACAAAGAGCTAATACTATTTCAGCCACATTCATGTCTTAAGGCAGTTGGACACTGACAAAGACTATTTTTTTTCATTTAAAAAAATCCAAAAACGATTTTTTTCAAGGGAGCAATATCCAGCATCTGTACCACATTCCATCCTATCCTTGACATAATAAAGAAAGTAAATAACTCATAATATAAATGGAGGCATAAGTAAAACTTTCTATGTATGCAATTACACGGCAGGGAATTGCGATTTAAGAAATTACGTCAAGATATCAAGAAAAAAAGATTATTGTTTCTATATCTTGATCTTAAAACGCAATGACCATTGTTAACCATTACAGCAGCTAAAAAACTGGAGAAACAAATGAAGAAGCAGTCCCAGCACCATTACTGTAAGTTTTTGCCATTTTCAAGCTTTAACAAAATGAAAATTATTGATGATCAATCATACATGAGAACCAGATACTTGCAGCTTAATAAAGCAAATTAAATGCTAATTACCACACTTGTGGTTTATTGGACATCACTAATTACCCACTAATTTGAAAAGCTATGCTCAATCAACAGATCCACTCAATCATTAAAGAGAGATAACAATAGTGTTTTTCAAAAATAAAAGAAAAAGAAAATAGCCAGCACATCTATGTGTAACTATTGTTTTTATCTTAATTAGGTTGAGAGTGAAAAAAGCAAGAGCAAAAGCTAAACCTCAACATAAGGTTCTACATCTACATAATTTGTATACGTCTAGAGGATGAATAGAAGGATGCATCTGCCCTATACACAAATTAAGCAAAGTAACAACAAGATGAGAAGGATCACTTGTCAAACCAAGGTTACAAAGTTACTTCCACCCAAAGCATACATGAAGAAAAACAATTTGTCAGGGGTTGCTTGTCAAACCAAAGGCCACTAACTGACTTTCACCCAAAGCATACAGAAGAAAAACAATATTCACTACAGTGTTAGCAAGCCTTCTGTTTGTGACAAATGAAACCAAAGTTGCATCGTAAACTTTCATAACAGTCAGGATACCATGGTTCATACTTCATGCTAGGTGCTTACAAAGCTCAAAAAACTGGTAAATAGAGGATAATTAAAATTCTATAAAGTAATGCAACTGCAAGTATTGTAGGAACAAAAAATTATTGCCATATTATGGAAAAGCTCACCATATGCCTTTGAAGTTGCTCTTTGCGCTTCATGAAGTTGAGGCAAAACTCACAAAAGTACAACTTCAATGAATCATTATATTCTGGTGGAAAGGGGGAGAAGTACCATGTCTCAATTTCATATCTTCCAAGTTCTATGGTTGCTATATTTTTCACCTTTGTGAATTCCTCATGTTCACGCAAGCTAGCAGCATCTAGCTCCTCATGACCCTATAGAAAAGAAAAGAACATACTATTACAGATAATAGAATTTTACAAAAGCAACGACATTAGAAATTTTAAATAAGCCTCCGAACTTTACACACCACCAAGTGAAAATTTTATGTATACTTACAACTTCCACGTGCGTCTCATCAATCTTACGTTTCTGGTGGCGCGTCATTTTCAAGCTTGTTACCTGCAAACCTCACAGGCAAAGTTCAACAAATCAATACACCCCTCAAAGATAAACAGAAAGGAAACTGAAATTTAACGTTCTGCACAGGAAACGAATGTTTACCTTGTCTTCAACCTTTTCATCCACAACAGTTTCGACTGAATCAAGATCAAGTTGTTCAAGCTTCACCCATTCATCAAGCCTCCTATTAACTATCATTTCAATATTATTATTATAACAAATAATATATCAATTTCCAACATTTCTAACATATCAATTCTAAAATTTCATTGAAATTACAAAAACCCTAAGAAATGAAATTCACGTAAGAACCCTAACTCTTGGGAGATTGGATATCTTACACTCAGTGTAATGAACGTAGTATTCGTAATCATTGGCCCCACCGAAGTGCATTTTACGGCGTTCGATGACTTTGACAGGATGATACTTGCCGTCTCTCCAGCGGCACATGACCTGAGTACCCACCTCTAGAGGAAGCATACTCGACCTCCGCTTTTTCGTTGCCTCAGACTCCGGCGTAATCTGAGCCAGAGCACCGTTTGAGGAGGCCAAATGCATCTGGTCACCGTCGGCCACTGCGGCGGCTGCGGCGTGAGACTGTGTTGTACCATTCTCTGCAATCGTCGGTGTGTCTATTGAACCCATCGGTTGGAGAGGTTTCAGACTTTGAGCTCGAGAATGTGGCTGCAACGATACATAAAGATGGAAGACTTTTTTGGGCTTTGGCCCATGGGCTTCCTTATTAAGTAATCTGACTCTGTGGGTCCCACAAAATTCGAATTTTAACCAAACGTTATGATTATTACCGCATCATCATCGTGTTATATTTCTATTTAGAAAGAAAAACGTAAAACCAAATCTCTCATTTTTGTAATTGGATCAATTAATGTTGAATCAAATTATTTAAAATTAAATTAATTAAATTATTTTATTTTATTTTCTGTAATTAAATTAAAATTTTAAATTTTAAAAATTAAATTTAATCAATTCAATTAATAAAATAATATATAGATTTAAATTAAATTATATTTTAAACTTTTAATTTCTTATATTTTAAATAAATTTAATAAAATTATCTAACAAAATATTTCAATATCAAAATATTATGTTAAAAATTTTAATAACTTAATAAATTAAATAATAATTTTATATTTTTTTATTTTTTTATTTAAATTATATTATATTTTTATCAAAATTTTAATTAATTCAATTTCTAAATCAAATTAACCAAAAAATTAAATTGTTTTTAAAATCATTTTTATTAACCGATTGAAATTATTTTAATGATCAATCAATTTGATCGCAATTAATTTGATTAAAACCAACTTATAAACGTTTAATTTTTGTAACTTCCTTCAAATTACATCAAGAACGTTGCATTATTATTTTTTTTTATGTCCAATTTCTTTCATTAGATTTGAAATTCCTCATGAGAAGTTTACAATTTTCAAAAACTGAGGATTGAGATGCTTGTACTAAGCTCTCGTTGACCAAGATTTCTTAGCAGAATTATGTACACTAACTAAACTATACACAGCAGGTAACACCTTTTTCTAATTTCCTCACTATTCACATAGTGTTACAATAAGCAAATCTCTATCTCCTGTCTGTCCTCAACCCCTCGAGACCCCTTCAAGACTGAATTTTTTGGCAAAACATAATGGAATAAACTCACCCACTGTACAATTTACTCTCACAATGAAATATACAACAATGATGTGCCAAAACTTGCCATTCCGAGCCACACTATGTAGCTCCCATGGCATCAAGGCGACACTGGCCCCAATCAACATCTAGGCACCAATTTGGTCACCGTACTGCCTTCATAATCTGATAAACGTGGCACCTCCTTCACTCAGAAAGCAGTTATAAAGGGCACAGATGGCCGTCACCCTTAGGCAATTGAAACAACCGGGGTATTGACAAAGCCTAACCATTGTGCTCCAATTGTCCATCCGAACAAGCATCCTGTGTGAGCTGCTTCTCCTTAGGAAGACAATCAACAGGAACGTAACAATATCCTTTAGGTAACCGTGAATTCTTCATAGATGCTTCATCTGATGTCATTACCAGCTCCTTTTCAAATGTTTCAACAGGCTGAGATTCACAACACGACCGGCATCAGTCAAGATTCCTTTTAGGTTGAGAGAGAGAGAGAGAGAGAGAGAAAGCAAGTACAACAAATAATGATAATGCAAAAACTAGAATTATACCTTTCTGGATTTTGAGTTCCAATCTGCATTATCCAAACCTTTTCGAGATGCAAGAGAATATCTATGAGGGATTTGCTTCCCTGAGAAAGGCACCCTCTCTGCTGGCTTCTGGACTAAAAGCGAAGTGGAGCTGTCATCAGTCCTTTGATCATTGTCCATAAGCACAGAAGCCTTTGCTCGGTGCTTCACTGAAAGAGTACTGTCCACAGTTACATCATCTGATCGCATCACTTCACTGCATGACTTGTAACCACTAGTATGACCCTTGAGAGAAGTTGTTGCAGATTCTGAGCTAACATCCGGATGGAAAAAAGGACTATGAACAAGCACTGAACGAGTAACATGATCTCTTTTGCAAGCAAGTATTTCATGTGAGCAAAGCACCAACTCCCGCTGCAAACGTTCACATTCACAATCACATTCTCACATTTACTTGTATAAAATAGAAAAACTACCTGACAGCAGCAGTTGCATCAGCAAAACAAGAGACTAAAGTTAACCATTTAGAGAACTACCTTCAATTTTTCACGTTTGATGATTCTTTCACAAAGAAGGCGTAATCTATCCAATTCAACCTGTAGAGGAGAATCCACGGACAAAACACAGTGATCAGACAATTCATACAATAATATACATGAGAACACCAAAACTAGTACATAGCACAAATCTAAGCAACCCAAAAGTTGACAAGAAAGCCCTTACCCGAATTTGCTTCATGTTTTTCAACTCCTCAATTCCATGTTTCTGAGTTTCAGCCTACATATATTATTGATCAGATAAACAAAACAGGACAAATAACCTACAATAAAACAATTGGGTAATTTTATAAAAAAAAGAATCAAAGTTTTCAAACCTTTGTTCTCTGCTCCACACTGTGCTTTTCACAATAAGCCTTGTGCTGCAATTTGCCACCACCAAGCTTCACATTCATATAGAAGCCAGCACTTCTAGCACAGGACGGATGAAACGTGGCCTGACAGTGACCATAACTACACTGCAAAGAATAAAACTGTAGCTACTTAGCTACAAAGTATTTTAATTGCAACAACTCCTAGTTAACAATCTGAGTACATAAAAAAGGTATTTTTTTCAGAAAGAAAAAAAAAAGAAAAGAAAACAATGAAAAAATTAAAATCTCACCTTAATGCATGCACCATGCTTGCGACGGCATATACAACAAATGTTGACCCCCCTTGAAACAATCTCCTGATATTCCATTCAAAATAAATTTAAGTAAGATCTATAGAACTTTCTCCAAATAGTAATTATCTAATGCCTTAACATGCACGCATACCATTCCTTCTATAGGATTTACTTGTCCCCTTCTGAATGTTGATTCAAGAACCCACTACAAGTAGGACAAAATCACTTCATTTCATTTAATTGAAAGAAAGATGAAACATTAACAAACCAATAAAAAAGAAAAAATTACCTCAGCACAGAAAGCATGTACCCACTGGCCATCAACAGATTTCCTAAAAGCACCAGTAGTACCACCACATAAACCACATTCAGCAGCAGGATAAGGTTTCTCCCAAAAATTTAGAGATGGAGCTCCAGAGGATCTAGACGAAAACAATTCTTCGCATAATTCACAGCACCAAGGACCTGTAGATTCTTTAACATTGCGATAGCAATCCAAGTGAACTGCAACCTGTAGGCAGCACGGCTAAATCAAATTCCAAACAGCTAAAAGGAAAACTTTTCATTAAGAAAAACTAATGGTTTTAGACTAGAAAACCTTGCATCCAGAACAGACTAAAATAGGATTCAGTACTGTCTCAGACCGTCTGCAGATGTCACATGACCTAGGATGTTCTTTAGAAAAATCTGACACTGATTGAACAATACCAGAGTATTTTTCAGATGAAATCCTTGGGACAACATTTCTAGAAAGTGCATCTTTTGCTCTTGTGTGAGAACTAATAATGCCAGCCCTTCCAACAGAAGCATTCAGCTTCAATACATTCTGCAAAGAGAATAGAGTAAATTTTATCCTTATTTGCAGGCAAGAGAAAAATTCATAGAAAAAAATGATCCATGAGAATAACCTCTTGCTGACTAGAATCTTCCAAGCCATCTTTTCTGGATGATGAAATCCTGGAGGAAGCAGCTGCTGCAGCAGTTGCTGCAGCTAACACAGCCTGTGCTTCCTTATGTCTTCTCTCTTTACGTCCCTGCTTCTTTGCTTCTCTTAGCTCATACAGATATTGATTAACAAGCACAGTATCCCATCTTTGTGTCCTTGCTGCTTCAACCTCCTGTGGTAGACTTTTAGAAACCCTAGAAACTAAATTATCTGCAAGCAGAAAATCACACAAAATGCATGTTATAGGTTACAACACAGATAAGTACACACAAAAAGAACCCTAGAGTAGAAAAGATGAATACCAGTAACATGGTTTCTTGCAACTGCATTGCCCAGTAATGTATGCTGATAATATATAATTTCCCCTTCCACTTCATCCTCTGGCGACAATTTGAGAACTCCCAATTTCCTAGCCTTAACCAACAGCTCTAAATCATCAGATCGACAGCTCTTTTCATTGCACTTTGAATGTTCGCTTTGGTGACTACAGCAGACGCTGGCGTTAGAGGAAGCCGCCCAGCAAGAGAGATCTCCTTCCCTTAAACCTGCAAAGTGGAACTTGTTAGACCTGCCCAAAACGACCAGCCGAAAGAAAGAAGAAACTGCAGCCTGAATAATGACATGTAACTTGCCTTCAAACTCATTTAATGTGTCCTTTCCGCCCTCAAACTCCCCCATTCTATTCTTACAAAGCATCCCATTGTGCATCTGCAGCAATTTCTTGTGTATATGGGGGTGAATGTAAAAATTAGAAAATTCTTCAGTTCTTCTGCAATACAAAATTATCAAATAATCAGAAGTTATCTCACCAAAGTAGAAGGGAAAGCTCCTATAAACTATAACAAACAACAATAAGAAGAGTCTTGTTACAAAGCTTACATGAGATCAGTTATAATTGGATTCACAATTGGGCAAATGGAATTTTCCTGATCTGCATTCGCCTCAGGAGTGGTTGCCCTTTCTGATTGACATCTTTCAGAGAGGTTGTTATTTAAGAGATCAGTTGAATTTCCTGTCCAATCGTACAATTTTACGTTATAGATACAATACACATCAGAATCATAAAAGACAAGTAAATTACTTGACGAGCTAACTCCATGAAAAGAAAACAGAAAAAAAAAAAGACAACATAATAACAGAAACTTCAGTGAAAATTAAAAATGAGATGGCAGCATTTGATATTTCATACCGTAAAAATAACTGCTTGACAAAATCACCTTAGAATAACTGCCCCAAGTTTCTAGAAAAACATGGACCTTTTTTCACCTTCAGGGGTGACTTTAGGTAAAATTTAACTTCTTAAAAAATTTAATGTATATTTTTAAGACAAATTAAGGGACAAAGTGGATGTCTTACAAAATTTTTTGCAGGATATTGTAAAATGCAATCTTATCAAGGAACTTTTGTGATTTAGCCTTCCAAATAGAGGCCAAAGTGACACTTGTAACTAACAATTAGGACTGCAAAAAAATTCCTCAGATACTATCCCTAACCCTAATGCTTGTTATTAAATAGCTCACGTTTATCAACCTTGGCACGTGAATTGATTCTACATGACAAACGAATGGCATGCCAATACTAACAACAGTTATTAACATTGTTCTTGGCATAAGAAGCCAACCATGTTACAGCTGGCTCAAACCAAATTATGGAAAAAGAAATATCGATGGGAAGCAATAACTCTTAAATAAAGTAGCATGGAATGCATAATAAAATACAAACCAAAAATTGACATATTTAATCCACCAGAACAAGAACAATTAGGACCTAAGACAGCTTCACAAAAAGTACAATGAAGAACTAGCTTTTATGCACAAATGAGGATAAATCTAGAAAATAGAACCTCATCTGACTACCATTTGGCAACATATGCAGGAAAGAAGTATAAATATCACATAAAGCAAGAAAAAATTAGTAAATTCAACATAAAATCAGACTTTGAATGACAGAAGAACCAAGAAAAAAGGAAACTTTTGGGCCACTGTAATCTGCTTTGACACAACAAAACTATCTCCCTTGGAATTCATATGCATTTCAGCAGCAAAAGAACCAAAAAAGGAAAAAAAAAACTAATCCTTTTTTCCTGGAAATATTTGTTGCAAAACAAAAACTTACATGACATTTTCTTTTTCTTTCACTAATACTTCACTCTGTGAGGGACATTCTTTCCAACAAAACTTTTACAAACAACAAAGCAAGATTAACAGGAAATGTGTTCACTAAAGGCAAATCATTAAATTGAATATGATAAAGGGCACCGAAGTTAAACCTTCATTTCCTCTTCAAATTGGAAATGCAGAAGAATAAAGATTGAATCCCTCTTCAAGATATTGATTTTATTTCAGAATAATGACATTTTTACTTTCAGATATATGCACATTAGAACCGCGCCATACACAACCAACCAGAATGCAGTTCCTAGCAAACTACAATTTATTTTTCAACGAAAAGGTGTAGTGGAATGAAAATAGAGAATAAATAAGCACAAAGCCAAGCATATATATATATACGCACACACATATATTCAAAGCACTGAGATATCAAAATACTAGTACCTAGAAACAACAAAGGCTGCATTGCTTAACCCACAAAAAGTGAATCAGATCAAGAATATGACTTGACCAACGAAAAGGGTATTATATAAGGAAAATAATTCAACAAAGTGTACCTTCAGATGTGGGCAAATGCCTCTCTGAAGAGTCCAGGGAACCATCAAGCTTGGTTGAATTCTACATAGACGGGAAAATAATCACTTTCCAAAGCTAGAACAAAATATATAATTCAAGCACATTATATAATGCAAGGAGAAGAAAGAGGATCTAAGTAATGCAGGGCATAAATTAAAGTGAACCTATAACAGAATACATAAAGGAAACGAATGATAAATAAGGCATATATGCATACTCTTTCCAAAGCAGTTTCTTCTATTAAATCTTGAGACATTGAAAGTTATCCACAGATCACTCAAAAATCACCCATAGTGAAAGCAGAGATCAGTAAGAAATTAAAGCACTTGAGCACTATATTACACATTTCAAGTTCATGTTTTGCACTTTTTGGTTAATTAAAATATATTTCCTTCGTTATGCATGGTACCCTTACATGAACACATCTTAAAATAAAAGCAAAAAAGTTATAACCATTCTCACAACATGACAAAGAAAATCTAAACATTACCTTCAATGACGACAAAGCAAACATATACATAATCTTCTTTCAAATATATCCTTTTTAATTAATTGTTCAACTTATTAATAACATAGATTAAAATAATCGTTTTATATCCATCACAAAAGAAGCACTAAACTTCAAATTTTTACAACTTAACAGGTGGCATGGTAGATCAACGCTCGAGTACTGGTGAACAGATAGAATTGTGGAGGGCAGTATAGATTTGCAGGCAGGAACATATCTGTCCACAAGCAGCTAAAAAAAAAAACCTTTCCAGAGACATAATATAAACTACAACTACAATTTTCATGACATGCAATGGTATACACAATTACAACATATTTTGTAGGAGAGATAAGATGTTAAGGAAAGGAATATATAAAAACTAAACAAATTCTAAGTCAAAGCATTAGGAAGAAGAGGGCCTTTATGTCACAAGAGCAGAACCTAAAACAAGAAACCAGACAACTCAAACCGAGAACAGAAACCCATTGTGCAACCTCATCTAAACCCAGTCCGGAAAACCCCAACTTCCTATCCCATCAAAAGAAAAGGGATGCACCATTATAACATACAAAAGATATTAATGGCTGATGGAAGCATAGAACATAAAGCAATATGCACAAAAAGAAGCATTGCTTCAAAAATAATCAATGATAATGATTAAAAATATCTAGTTAACAGGAAAAGCTCCAGTAGCATAGAACATGGGCTCCAAAGATAAAGAAATCAAACTTCAAAATCACCTGAAAGCCTACTAGTCAGCAAGCAATGCTATACCAGATTAAGGAAATGATGTCAAGTTACCAATCATCAAGAAATATTCACAGAGTTCATACATCCAACAATTGTTAGCAAAGAAAAGTAAACAGAACATGTAAATACAAGTTCAAAGACAAATCTGGCAGAATAATCAATGAAAATTTTAAAAGTTAACTTACCAAAAAGAACTTTGAAACAAATATTAATGATTGATATTTTACCTTTCCAGTAGTATCAGGAATAGATGCTTTACTTGAATCATAAGTTTCTTCCTTAGCAAGTTGATCAACCCGAACTTCTTCCATCACTACCCCATTGTCATTAGTAATTTCATCAGAGGAGCATATTACTCTGTTATCCCTCATAATCCTCACATTACTCTTGGTTCTTCTCCGAGGGGGTACAGACTTAACAGCAACAGGATCAATTATATCAGACTCAGATACCATTATATCATCAGAACTATCCGTTGCTCCAGTCTCATCCTTGGATGAAATCAAAGACTTTATCTTAACTTTTAACTTTTTTTGGGAAGAGCCCATATATGCATGATTTCTAAGCCATTTCGCTATTTTGCATTGCAGGTCAGGTGCCAAGCTATCATCCTGAATAAAGAAGACCAAAAGAGAATATTAAAGAAAGATGATAGCACAAACTGACAACTAAAACTGCTTTCGGAAAATAATTGCAGTATAAAAAGCCATGATTGCAGGTATTACATCTAATGAAGCACTCAAAGAACCAGCTGAGAGTCCAATCTCCAATGCTACATCTTTTACATTGACTTTCCCTCGGTCAATTAGCTGCATAATTTGTAGAGTGTAAGACAAAGAACAATCTACAGAGCTTTAAAAACATTGAGAAAATATTATCAAACCCCTGGACGACTGGATCAGATACCTTCTTCAAAATCACTGTAAAATTAAAGGAGTCAGATGGGTTATGGTCATTGCCGTTACTCCTCTCCAATAACCCCACATCAACCAGCTGCTCTGTCCCACAACGTTCTGATGCAACTCGGGCATTTAGTCTGGTATCAGACAAGCCTATCGCTTGCAACTCACCATCACCAGATTTATCAGAGTTATCATCCAGAGCTTCAATGTCCACTGCAATTTTATCTCCATTTTTTAGGCCAATTTTTAAATTTTGAGACTTGTCCATAGATGTTGGAGAAAGTTTGTTGGTGATAGAAGAATCACAGCCAGCTGCACAAAATTGTAAAAGTTGTGACGAACTGCTGTTATGGTGGATTTCGGAATGCTTAGAGCAAAATGCCCGTAACTCAATCTGTAGAAAAGAATATGGAGCATTTATGATAAGAAAGCCTCAAAGTAAGAACAAAGTCACTGCTAATAAATAATAACAACAAAAAAATTCATATTTCAGGAAAAAAATTTAAGGGACTTACATTATCACACCCATATCTTCCCCAAACTTCCATTCTATGCCTGGCTTCTCTTGCACATATAGGATGGAATGAGGTTCTGCAAGTTCCTGCAAAAACCACCAGCATCCATCACAAGTTGAAGCATTATAAACATGTTCAGAATTTCAAGAAGATTAATAAAGAACAGAAAACAAAACAAGAAACCATTCAGCAATGAAGCAGCACACTAATTAAGTTCACAAAACTTGCTCGAAAATTGCAGCAAGAAACAAAGATCATGGAAGGTTGATCCTTAGTGATCATTTATTCAAGACTATTTTTGTCTTTTATTTTTTAAAAAAAAATTGCTCTCTTTGATGAACTATTAAATGTGCTACAGGCTACAGACAGTATAAACATAAAAAAAGTTGAAGAAAAATAGATATTAAGAACATAAAAGGCAAATATACAATCTAATGAATTACCGGTTTCCAATTACACAACACATAATGACATAAAGACCCATTGCAATCTTGAAAATACTAGTAGAGTTGCCTTCAGAAAGTTATTTCAGCAACTGATAGCAGTTCTATGATAAGGCAAATGAATCTGTAAACTCACTGGATTACTTTTGAAACTTTAAAGAATCATTTTCGGCTTCCAACAGGAAAAAAAAAAAAAAAAAGTCATGATTGAACTCCAACCACAATGAGGGTATTGATTGATACTACTGACCTACTTTTGTCCTTTTCCTTGAATTCCTGACAACAGTCTTGCTTACCAAAAAAAAGGTAACTAGTAAGGAGAACTTCAAGGCAGCAAGCATTTGTCACAGGGCAAGAAGCCAAAACCCACTATGCCACTTATGATCACAAACATTACAATTCCCTACTAGCTCAGGATTGGGCATAGATATGGTGATACACTTCTCTTCCCATGTAAAGAGATCAAAAGATCTTCAACAAAAGACAAGAAAACTTAAAAGTAAGTGTCTCAAGTACGTGCCCATCTCTAACCCAAAATATTGACACCGAAGAGAGATTATACTAAGAAAACCCAATGCTATAAACTGTGATGTAAAAAGTATGTAAAAAAAAAAAAGACAATATTTCCATGAGAACTTCCTTTCACTGCCATTTAAACTTTGACCAACTGCAACCATCCTTATAACTTCATATCCAATGCCTATACAAGGTCCAAGCAAGTCATTATCACAAGGGAAGGGGAATCATCCAGGGTTCTCTAAAGGACTTCTACGTAACAGTCTTCCTAAACGATATCTCACACTTGCATCAAAAAATCCCGAAAAATTGTCAGCATGAGCTGTTCCTAGAGTTTTTTTTTCTTTGTAAAGTGTTCAAAACTGTTCTCTCCAGTTTCTTCATTAAATATTTACAGAAGCACAAATTCGAATTTCAGAACATCTTTTCCAAACAAAGCAGTACCCTATGATACAAAAATATGCTCTTGGGCAAACCTGTTTATCTCCAAGATAGTACTATTAAGAGATGAAGATCTTTTCTTTTAAGGTTTATTGACCAAAGAGGGAATCTGAAACTACCTTGCTTCCTTCTTCATAAAACTCTCAGAAAATACTCAGAACAACAATTTTCTTTCAGGGAGAGACAGAGGAAGTGTTACAAAAATGATAATGGAGGTTGATAGTCAAGGATGTTGGTGAATAGTTTCCATCATGCATCCTACTTTTACAAGCTCCCTTCCAAGTAATTTAAGCCCAAAAATACATCTATTCAAATTTTTATGAGAATAAATACTGAAATAGCACACCAAATAAGTTGTATCTGTTACCTCACATGCAAAAAAGAAAATGGAAAGCAAACTTTCTATAAATAAGAAGGATTCCAGAAACAATAATTCCTAATCAAACTTTGCCTACTTCTGTACGATATGGATCTAAACCAACCATAAACCTAAAGCTGCCAATAAACATGAAAAGCTGAAAGATGAAAGTTTAAATACCACAAATTTTAAACAAATCACATGTTAAACAAGACCCTAAGTGACCATTTTTGTTGTTTGTAAACAGAATATTGCATTCTAGTAACTAAACATCCAGCCTCACTCTCAGAGTAGTTTCTGAAACACCTTAGTTTATTCCCCCCTCCCCAAAACCGCCAGTAATGATACCTTAAAAAATGCAAGTAATTGTTGTAGATAAGTATATCCTCTCTCTACCAGAAATTCCTCATGCAGATACTAAATAAAATTGGAAGAAGAAACATGCTAAAACTGTTCAATAAATTGCTGCATCAAAATATGGAATGGAATGCAATTAAGTCCCCGGTGCATGAAAAAAAGAATAAACTCTTATAGCACAAAAGGCAGCAAAATGATCATTTACGCTTGCCATAAAGGCCAAAATGTTTTAGATAGGCTCTTTAATTTGAACCATCCAACTTACTGTGGTTCAAACACTCAATAACAATTTCAGCAGATAAATACATAAAAGAGCATGAGGAAATTCTTCATATGAACAGAAAATAAAAGAAAAAAAAATTATCTGAAAACAAGAAGCATACACTGAGGTGATGCCATGGACAAAAAATTCCCTTCTTTTATTTGAATTTTGTTAAATTACTACTTATAACACAACAAAATAATAGCCATTACTCTTGAACGGAAGCACTTCAAAGAACACATTTTGCAGTTGCACAACTCTAATGGATGTAAAAATCAGCCAAAGATTTGAATACAAGAATGCTCTCCTTGTGCACCAACCAAAAAAGAAAAGCAGAACGATGTAAAAAAAGATAGCAACGAACATACCATGACTGCACCGAACACATGCACCATACTTCACCTTGCATACATTACAGACTAATTTCTTTCTAGTGTCCTTTATTCCTTCCACATTAATAATCGGTTCCATTTTTGTCAAGTTTTCTATATAAACCTCAGGCATCCAGTGCGAACAAAACAAGTGAGCAAACTCCACAGACCCGCGATTTTCATCACTCTTTTGAATGGGCTTTAAAGCACCACCCTGTTTCGGACAAAGTACACAGGGTTTCACCTTATCACCACCATCATTTTTCAGCTTGCACCAAGAACACAACCAAGAACTATCTACATCATTTTGCACACCATAGCACTTTTGATGAACAGCAACCTTACAAGAACTGCAAACAATCAATCTGTTTGATTCTTTTCTGGTATCATCAATGCAACAAAAGTGACATAAAGATGAATTCCCATCACATGGACACGCAATTAATATTTTCTCCAGACCAGCATCCTCTCCAAGAAGCTTCCGCTTCTTTGAAGGCCGCTCTGAAGTTAACAATATCCTACTCCTAGAACCTAAAAGCCACTCTAAACCACTGGTTGAATCTGAAGCAGAGTATCCTTCTGCTTCCTTTAGTGAAAACTGAGCTTGGGTTGCCACACTATCAATTTCCATTAACTGCCCATCCTCCTCCATGACGACCTCTTTCCCTTCTTCTTTACCAACATCACCATTTTCATTCCTGACATTAAAATTCTCTCCACTACTCACATTCGCCTTCTCATCCACCTGAGCATCTAAATTCAAATTCGCCCTTTGCTCATTTCCAACATACGGAATCATAAAACACTTTTTCCTAGCAGCTAAAGAACTAGATGGTGTAATCTTAAACAAAGCATCAATATCTGGCAATGCCAAGTCCCGAAAATACTCTTCAGTTTCAACCCAAATGCTCCCACCTCGTGCCTTTCCCTCCTGTCTCGAAGACTTCTTATCCGCTCCTGAATGTGACTTCTTATGCCTCTTCCTACTATCAGTCCGCTTCAAAAAACTAGACAGTCCACTGGGCAGCGTTGGCACACTCAACTCGGAAACAGAGCCACCTTCAGGGATATCAAAAGGAGAACGTTCGCAAAGTGTTTTCCATGCCTGAGAAAAGAAATCGACAGCAATATCCCGGGAAAATTGCTTCTGGGCAGTCTCAGATTGGGTCACCGGACTCCGACTGGAAACCCTAGAAATTGGACGGCAAGGCCTCTCCTTGGTGCCGCAACCTCCGTCCGCACCCCTACCCATCATCTTCTTCTGCCGGTGGCATAGGGCTCCGGTCATCACCGACAACAACCACAAGCACCACCACCATCACCTTCGCATTCCATAACCGTCAAACCCTAGGCCTAACCCTAATCCTAATACTACTCCTCTCCAGAACACAAAACCCTAACCCTAAAAATCAAGTTACGCTATCAGTTTTTTCAAAAAGAACTAAACGAAAAAGAAATAACCATAGAAAGGGAAATAAACAGGATAAACTCCAGACTAAGGTTAGGGTTCTCAGTTTTTTCTTCTGCGATCCGTTTTCAATTGCGCGTTTTTTCTTTTGGTTGTTTTCATTTTATTTTTTTTTTCGAAATTCGAAGAGAGAGAAAGAGAATGATGTAGAGAAAAAAAAAAGAGAGAGAGAGAGAGAGAAAAAAATTTTGGCGTTTTTTGCAGGCAGAAAGGATGGCCCGTTTTAGGAGTATTATTTATTTTTTATGTTTTATTTTTAAGTGGAGTTTAGATAGGATGTGGTTATCCAACATATGTGCATTCGTGGATTTTACACGTGGCATATGGATATTGGTTTAAAAGATGAGATGTTAAGCACGTACGTATATTTGCATTTGCAAAAAATATTTTTAAATTAAATTTTGTTGTTTGTAAAAATATATAAACTGAACACTTATTGAAAAACAAATATTTTATACATTAATGAAATTCACAATTATACTTATTCAAACAATAAAATAAAATTACTCATTCATAAGATTAAATTTCTTTATTCATAAGTCTTCAAATAATATTATTCAATAAATCAAATACTACTCAAAGTAACAATTAAATAAAAATCAATATAAATCAAACTTTAAAATAGTTTGCATTAAAAGCTAAATACAGTTGTTCTACAATATGATCAATAGTTTCTCATATTTTATTTTGATCTCGTTACATTTTTATACAATCTTAAATAATATTTTAATAACTAAATTAGGGGTCAAATAGATTGGTAAGTGGACTCTCCATTCACTTGGTCTAATTTTTTTTAGGCGATTTTGATTTCCAGGGATACACTTTGCGTATCAATCAAATGTAATCGTGATTTTATTTTTAATAAGCTGCACGCTTTATTTTATAATCATTTCATTTTTATTCTTATACTTCCAAAAATAATTTCTATAAATTTTATATCCTTTTTAATTAATTAATTGTTAGGTAAACGTGAATCACATGTTAATAGTAACATTTAGTGGATGCTTGATTTTTTTTTTTTTTTTGGTAGCTTAATCAAATTATCCGGTGTCGAGGGAATTGTTGTTACAAATTGCTATTCGCGATGAAGTATGCATACTTGTATATAATTTGTCCTAATTATATATTTTTTAAAATTTAAAATTTATTTTTTACTCTCAATTTTTATTAAATTTTTAATTTCAAACATAAAATAATGATATAATATAAAAATAATATAATTTAAAATTTTAAAAAAATATTTTATACTAATTATGACTCTTACTAGGGTGGACAAAATCACCCGAACCCGTCGGATTTCGACCCGACCCGACCCTTTAGGATCGCTTTTTTTTTTTTTTAAATCGAGTATCGGGTCGGGTAGAGTAAAAAAATTCGAGGTCGGGTTTTGAGCAAACCCGACCCTACCCGATATATATAAAAAAATTATTTTTTTAATTTTATATTTAATTTTATATATTTTTATATATATTTAATTTTATATTTATATTTAAAATAATATTTTTATTAATTTCGGATCGGATCGAATCGGATTTGATTTTATACAATGTCAGATCGGATTCGAGTATTAAAAATAAAAAAATTATCGGATCAAATACGAATTCGAATATTACATATTTAAAATCGGATCGAATTCGAGACGAACAAAAACCCACCCCGACCCGACCCGTTGCCATCACTACTCCTTACGTTACAAGTGATTCCACTATTAACCAGTGCTTATCGTAAAGCCGTTTCACGAGTATTTTATGTTGGCGATAGCGTACTTGTTATTTGACTACACATGTTCATTCTTGGTTAAGGCCGTAACTTATTGTTGAAGACCGCGCATTACTTGAACAGCTTACATTATTATCTGGAAAGGTTAAATATACTTGATGAAAATACTATCGTCTTGCATAATGATGGAGTCAAAAATTTTATTTAATGAGAATTTAATTTAAATTATTAAATTATAAAAGATAATATATAATTTAAAAAAAAATTAAAACTTTCATATCCAACTATGGTCACTAAATTTTTGCAATCATCCTTAATGTTGTTTTATACTAAGTAGTGTCCTGCGTTTTACTGCAGTTCAATAATAAAAATAATTAAAAACGTTAAAACATACTTGTACATATATGTTTTATTAACTTATGAAATATTAAACTTTTTAAAAATAAATATGAAAATCTGTCATGAACAATTTAAAAAAAAAAAAAAGAATTGAAATGGGTTGAGAATTTTATTTCCCTTTTTCTTACTCTCTATGTGCCATTTTTTGGGTTTCCTTTATAAAATATAAATCATAAACCTTAGAATAGTCTGCATTAAAAGCTAAATACATGTTTTTTTTTTAACATGATAGATCCTGCAAAATTGATTTGAAAACGAGGGTAGGAAACAGTTGGCACAAGAATCCAATAAAATTTTAAACTTTTGTATGTTAGATGAAATCCTTCGTGGCTTGACCGTCCTTACATTTGAAAGAAGTTCTTTCCTTGCTTCGAAAATCAGCGGCCCTTCTAAAAGAAAGATCTTTAATTATATAATATGCTTTGGGGATGGCCACAATTTTTTTTTTTCCGGGATTAATTTACTTTTTGACTACTCTTGTTTAAAATTTAGAGCTTTAAACCTTTAACTCCGCAAATCTTGGCATTATAAAGTCATCTGTTAGGTCTGAGAAAATATAATCTGGTTGCCCTGCCCGTCTATTCAACAAATAAATTATAGTTTGATTCAATTTTAAGAGTAATTTAGCAAGGATTATAGCTCAAGGTCAAAGGAATTACAGCTCACGAGACATTAGAGAAACCCTAAGTATTTACTGCATTTGGATGGAAATTTTTGGATAATTAATGAATATAATTTATTTTTTAAAATATAATGAGAATTCAAATTTAAACCGTTAATTATTCATTAATAGTACTATTTAGGTGAATTAACTTTATGTTGAATTGAGTTAGATTTACGAGTAAATTTATTTTAAGAGTTGGGTTATTTATTCAAATTTAAATGTTTGTCTAAATTTTAAGAAGATTTTAAAAATTAAAACTTATTAAATGAGTTTAGACATAATTTTTAAATGCATTTAAATTTTAAATTGGATCTTAAAAAAATAATTAAAGTTTGAATTCGATTTAAATAAAATATATAATTAAAATATTTATAATTATGTAAGTATATATATGTAAATTTTTATTTTAATATTTTAATTTAAAAATAATTTTTAAAAAGTTTTATTATATAAATTAAATTTAATAAATGAATTTGATTTTTTTTAACTTTGGTTGATTTTAAAAAAAATTTGAAATTTAAAATATTGAGTTAAATTTAAATAAATATATAAATTATTAATATAGAATATAAGTTTGATTTGATATATAAACACCTATACGTAAAAGTATGTATGAGCATCTCTATCAATAAATAATTTCTTTATAAAAAAATGATTTACTAATATTAAATATGGATATGATCCGATCTATACCCCCCTATACTTAATAGTTTATATATGAGTATCTCTATCAATGGATAATTTCTTTATGAAGAAATGATGCTTATTAAACAAATCTATATATTATTTTAAAATGATCCGATGGAAATAGTTGACTTTTTAAAAAAATATTTTTAAAACTAAAATATTAAAAAAAGAAAAGGATAGGAGTGATCTAACCCCATGAGGATAGCTTTTATTTTTTAACTGTTAGTATATTTTTTAAAGTTAAATATTCAAAGAGTATATATTTAATATATTATTTGTTTGTAAATTTTATATATTATTGATAAATTAAATTATATTAATTTATTAATGAAAAAAATTAGATGATGTTAATTGATAAAAATATTAACTTTTTATATATTTATTTTAAGATGACATATTTTGATTAATTAATAGTATATAAAATTTATATATTGTACATAAAATATAAATTCATATTTTAAAAAATATTGTCATTTTAAGTGATAGTATTTTTTTATTTTTTAACAAACTATTATTTTATTTTTTCTTAATGTTAAAATACCAAAATAAAAAAAAAAAAGAAAAACGGAAGGAGATGAAAAATTCAAACAAGAAATTTGCAAATAACTAAACCAAAACATTCCTTTTTTTTTAATATTATTATTATTTTTATTTTCTCCCTTAATGTTAAAATACAAAAAAAAAAAAAAGAAACGTGAAAAGGGAAAAAAAGAAATATTCGGACAAAAATTGTTTGTAAAGAATTAAACTAGATACTAATAAATGCAAAATTTTTAAAATTTTCAAAATTTTCAAATTAAATATCTAAAAATATTTGGTTTGCAAAAGTTTAACAAAATTCAAAAAACAATTAATAAAAAAATTTAGAGTAAATTTTGATTTTTTGAATTTATAATTCTTAAGAATTTTAAAATAAAAAAAATTAATAATTTAATAATTTTAAACAATTTAATTTTTTTAAAAATATTAAATTACAGAATAAAGCAAGAAAAATTTAAGAACCATAAAATTGTTTCAAAAATTATAATATAATCACATGGATAAAAGAGAAGTAAAATATTTTTAAAAATAAATCTACTATTCAGTTTTAAAAAAAAGGTTTTTTATTTGTGAATTCGAAAATTAAAAACCATGAAAAGAAGATACTAAAAAATTGATGATTTCGTGACTAAATCCCTAAATTCGACCATACATAAAACTTTTTTAACTAATTTTTTAAAATCACTCCCGGATAATTCTCGCTAATATATTAATAATGTGATGTTTCAAAATCTTTATTCAAAATGAAAATAAATAAATAAAATCTTGTCGCACCGTACAAATTAGCATTTGAAAAACTTAAATATTACTAGTAAACATCCGCAAAAATGTTAACATAAAAGGCAAATGATGCAACCCAAAATAATTGCATCGGTTAAAAACTTATCAGTAGCGATATTAATCAAATATTAATGATAAATAATGACATAAAATCCAAAAAAAAAAGGAAAAAATCAATGGGAGAATAGGAAAGCTAATGTATTTGTGTACGCCTTCGGGAGGAAGGAACGTAGTAAGAGGGTTAAAAAAAAGGAAGAAATCGAATCGTTATTTCATTCTCAATAATTGGTTAGTTAATTACACAAAAAACAATCAAATGGATTTAGTGGAACTGTGGGCGATGTTCGGTCCCGGGGTCGCGGGCGCCGTGTTCGGTGCCGGCTGGTGGTTTTGGGTTGACGCCGTCGTTTGTAGCTCCGTCAATGTCTCTTTTGTCCACTATTTACCCGGTACACCCTAATTCTTATTTTTTTCAAAATATTTTTTCTGTTTCTTTTTATTTATATTTTTATCGATGTTTATATAGCTAATTATTTGTTTTTCATTTTTAGGAATATTTGCATCTATTGCGGCTTTGATGTTCAGTTGTGTTAGAAAAGGCGATATTGATTACTCTCCTTATGAAGAAGGCGAGTGGAGGTTAGCTAATTCTTTTCTTATCCCTTTTAATTTCTTGTTTTTTTCAGTTGATTTTCTTTTTTCTTATCGAATTTACGTTTGATCTGCTTTTCGGAGTTTGATTATGCTTACCATAACTGAACTGAATTTTGCTAAAATTGGAATCATTTTGCCTATGACTTGTAAGTTAAATAATTACTTAGGGTTAACTGTTCCTCAGTGATAGTGCTGTGAGTTGTGATATTTTCAAGTGAAATTGAGATTTTTTTTTTTTATGTTAGCTGATTGACTAAAATTTTTGTTATTGAAAGTCTTACATTGAACTCCAAATTTGATAAGCATTTAGGGCTTTGGAGTCAATAGTCTTGCGTCTCAACTAATTTGTTCCTTTTGGTATCAAGAATCAACAAATTTAGCAGGAAAGCAATTGAGATTTAAGTCCTTTAATTGAGTATGATGGTGCATATTTGCAGGCACTGGTCCTTAAATTCAGTTCAAAATTAGGTTTCTTGTATGTTTAGTGCCTATGTTTTGGGTTCAAGTGTGGACTGTTTGGATGCATAATTTCAGGTGATCCATCTAACTGAAGGGTCTTCATTTTCATGTAGAATCAATTAATATGGAACTGTCCCTTAAGATCATTTTGTATTAGTGTCCTGGTGTTGAACTCTCTCTTGCATACTTATCATTCATCTATGTTTGAAGCGTGGCATGACAATGCTGTGAGCTTGGAAGTTTTTTAGCTGTCTCTGTGACATAAATTTTGAGGAGCTGAGTTTTTGAAAACCAAATCAACTTTTTTGAGTTTTGAGGATTATGCTTGTTGTATAGAACATTGATTTATATAAAGTATAACTTCTTACCCACCTTTTGTGCGTGTGTGTTGTCACTAAAGTCAACCTTTGAGGCACAGTTGTTTTGAGGAAGTGATTGTGATGATGATTCATTTGCAAATCATGTACCTTGTACACTTATATTTGATTTAGAAGCAGAAAATCTAATATAAAACCTGAAACTTATTGCACTTAATGCTGGATTACTAGTTTTCCTTGTAATTATAAGTGTTGGAATTTTGGTTTTACTGTTAGCAGGATTAAAATATAAGAAAACAGATAGAATAAAAATAACTTGAATGAAGTGTTTTTCTTTAGTTTATGCTCCATTTGCTTACAGAGTGATGATATAAAATTTGAATAGTCATGTTGTTTTCTTGAAACATTTCTTGATATACTTCCTATAGTTTAGACTTCAGACATAAAATCGTTGTAATGAATTATATTTTGGTCATTCATTTTAGCGTCTGTTTGATTTTAGAAAACAATACCATTTTTTGTTTTTGTTTTCATGAAAAATAAAAAATGAAGGTGAAAATGTATTTGGTAATTAAAGAATGAAAACATTTTTTGGAAAATGAAAATGAAAATATGCCTGATTTTGAAAACAAACGAAAGTCATTTTCACTATTTTCAATAGAAATAGTATCCAAAGGTGAAAATGATGAAAACGTGGATGCTTTGAATTTAGCTAACGGGACCTATCCACCAACCGAGTTCGACAATAACCAAAAGCAAAAAAAAAAAAAAAAAAAAAACATTCATGCACAAAGACATGGTTTCATTCCATTATGTCCACGTGTTCTAATATAAGTGGAGAACATGTTTTTTCTCCATAATGATAGATTTAACTGTGTATGGCCCATAAATAAACTTCAACTTTCCTTTTTCCATTTTCTAAGCAAAAAATACAATACCAAACATGATTTCATTTTTAAAAATAGTTTTTCTTTATCATTTGCCAAACACAATTTCAATAAATTAGAAAATAGAAAATAAAAACTATTTTTAGAAAAGAAAAAACACAAAATATTTTTTAAATCCAAAAACTACCTTAGTTTTTGGGTAAACTCCATTTACACCCTTTGTGGTTGCAACTTTTCCACTTACACCTCCAATGGAATTTTTTTCCCTCTTATAACCCTAGAGTTTACTTCTCTTACTAGAAAGGAGTAACAGTCTTAAAAATAAGGGTGAGGGTAATTTGAAATTTCATTAAATTCTTGTTGATTTTTTACGTTGTTACCCCCTTCTGGTAACGGAAGTAAACCACAAAGTTATAAGTGAGAATTTCCACAGGGGGTGCAAGTGGGAAATTTGCAAAACACAGGGGGTGTATGTGGAGTATACCCTTAGTTTTTTATTGCACAAGAGCATAATTGATCCAACACATATGGTTTTGTGTCCATTTATGGTAGCTTGAGTATAGACATTGGACTATGGTGGGAAAAGGTATTACTAAGGCTTTATCCCTAGTTGAATAAACTTGGCACTGGCTAAAACCAAAAAAAAAAAAAGTGCTAATGTTGTATGAGTTGTGGTTGACATTATTAATTTGTGCTTTGTGTTCTGTTGCAGTCTTAGGACTGGGCTTTTAGAAACTCTTCTTTTTTGTTTTAGATCTATTTTTCCAACTTATCCTTCATTCACTCGGGCTACTCAAATACCTAAGCTTGTTTATGCCGTATGAGTCACTACTGAATTTGCTTATGAGACACAAGAAATGCCCTTAAGCCATTTAAAGCTTTTTCTAATTTCATGCAGGTTCCATAATTGTAAGATAAATTGTGACCATTCTTAGTCAAAAGAAAGCTTAACAACCATCTTGCTTAATCAGTTCAAAACTTTCACAGTAATGTAAAGAAATTTGCACCATGTATTGATGCTGTCATCTGAGAGTGGATTGGTATATGTGCTATCAACATGCATTAAGCATGGTGTGTCCAGCTCACTCTTGTATTTAGTTATATTTAATTAATCTGATCTGTGCATGTGCTCCTGTTGCATGACAATTTCGTAGTCGGTGATCTGAGATTGGAAATCGGCACAATTATTTGGTTTTGTATGCATTAAAGCCATAGGGAATTACTAATGGTGTTTAAGCTTTTAATTTCCATTTTGTCTTGTTTTCTTTCTATGTGCCTTGTATCTTGTACATACTTGGTTTCAGATAATTGTGTCAATTGCTGATATTTAAAATTGCGCAAATGGAAAACTTCTAATCATCTGGAATGGACTGAGCTGGCCATCCTTGTATCTGTTCAGATGTGTAGTTTCACTCTAGCTTCTTTTTATGAGAATTACAATGCTCCTTTGATAGCTTGTTCTGGCTAATGGATGCTAATCCCTCATTGCAACAGGTTGAAGCTCTGGCTTTTCTTTGCTTATGTTGTATCCTTTGTCTCACTGGCTGCTTCAGTGGGCCTGTTGATACAAGACTCGCTAGTGAAATCTGGTCCTTCAGTGTGGACTGGTACTGCAGGTGTCTTACAGTGTGTGTTTGTCTTAATCAGGTAAATTTTATTCCAGATTTAGAATTACAACCATCATCCATGTCATGTTAGGTAATTTTGTATAATAGTTTCAATTTGAAGATGAATATCTATCTTGTGGGTATGTGCCTGTATGAGAATGAGACACAAATAGTAATGCATACATGTACCCTTAATGTCATTCATATGATGTTCTTCAATTTCATTGTTATGTGTTAAATGTTGTTTCATCAACTCATTAATTTTGTTAATTTGAATCTTGTACCGCAGCGGGCTTATATATTGGACTTCTCACCCGGAATAACAGATGACTTGAATCTAGTGTTTAGACTTTGGAGCTTGGAACCACAAGTGTGGCAATCATATGTGCACGTATCATCTGTAACTGTACTTAAATCAATGGGATAGAGAGGTTTTTCACAGTTGTAAATTTTTGTATTGTATTAACTGTTTTGAGTATGAAAGTACAATTCATCCTGCTCTTTTGATATTTGTGATCTCATTTCAACAACCAGCACTCGACAACATTTATTATGTTCTATGTTTTCAGTTCTCAGTTCTATTCAGAATTCAGGTTCAAATCATCTATGCCCCCATTCAACAAAACCAAATTGGTCACACCAACCTCTTTCCTTGTTTTGCCAATTCGGCTTTGTTTCGTAATAAAGATCTTCGATTTGTCACTTTTAAGATCTGTTTGGTAAAAACGATGGTAAAAATATTTTAAGCTTTGTTAAGTAGGAAGTGTGAAAAAGAAAGATGGAAAGGGATAAGATTGAAAAATCAATAATCTAAAGATTAGGTTTTATTAACCAATTCACAAACAAACATCGAAAGGAAGATACTTCATTCGAGCCAGCACATGGGTTGGATAGATATGTTTTCGTAGGAATTGAAAATTTTTAAGCTCATTATTGTATTTAAATAACAGGGTTGGTGGCCAGTTCATTTCTCTATGTGACCATTTTGATGAAATCAATTATACAGTGGTAGGTCAGTTCGTCTCTGATTGTTCAATTAATTTGTACAATGAAAACCAATTTCTCCTTCTCATATTAGAAAATAAAATAAATGATAGGTGCATCATACAGGAAATGACAACAAAGTGGGTCAATATAAGAATAAGTATCAATTTATTGGTCAATATAAGGATAACTATTAATTTACTTTACTCTTTCACTGCTTAAGGAAAGCTTGTCCAATTGACCTAAAAAAAAAGGAAGTACATTAAAATGCATTTAATCATATTTCTAAGTAAATATCATAACAGTATTAATGTGTCCAAAAATAGAGAATCCTGTGGATATATAAACTTGGCAATGTTCACAAGAAATCAGAACCACTAAAATTAAAATTCCTTTGTCAAAAGCCTAGAAAATTGTTCTAGCTTTCCAGGTTTTGAATTTGTGAAGCAAGAGAAATAGGAAATATGGGTCCTAAATTGGCTCAGTTGTTTTTCTCAGCATTGGTGCTATTAACTCAATTGCTTTCTCTTGCCGGTAAAAACACCTTTTTCTTGTGATTATATATCAAATATGGCTTAAAACATACGGCAAAAGCATGCATAAAATTGAAACTCTACCTTTAATCTTCATTCCATTTTATCTATTCTTTACATCATATATATATTTTTTATGTTAACTGATTTATCATATGTTGCAGATGCTCGCAATATAGGTGTTTGCTATGGTCTAAACGGAAATAATCTTCCATCTCCAAAGAATGTAATCAATCTTTACCAAAAAAGTCAAATTGAAAATATTAGGATCTATCAGCCTTATCCTGAAGTGCTTGAAGCATTGAGGGGATCAGGGTTATCCGTCGCTATTGGTCCAAGAAATGAAGACATAGTGAGTTTCGCAACAAGTCAAGATGCAGCCAATGCATGGGTTAACACTAACATTGTCCCTTACAAGAATGATGTTTCATTTAAATGGATTACCATAGGCAACGAAGTCATTCCAGGGCCATTGGGATCAAATGTTCCAGCAGCCATGACTAATATAAAAAATGCACTCGCCTCAATCGGGCTAAACGAGGTTAAGATCACCACTGTACTCCCTGGAACTGCCTTGGGAGCTTCCTATCCTCCTTCAGCTGGTGCTTTTGCAAGTGACATAACAGCGACCATGACCAGTATTGCTACTATTTTGGCTCAAGAGGATGCACCCCTTATGATCAATGTGTACCCTTACTTTTCCTACTCCTTAGACCCTACTCATATTTCAGCTGAATATGCCTTGTTCACATCCACTGCACCGGTGGTGACTGATGGAAGCTTGACGTATTACAACCTCTTTGATGCCATGGTCGATGCTTTCAATGCAGCCTTGGAAAAGATCAACTTTGGCAATGTAAAAATTGTTGTAGCCGAGACCGGATGGCCAACCATAGGAAATGCACCTTACACAAGTGTCTCAAATGCCCAAACTTATAACAATAACCTTTTGAATCATGTGATGAAGAATGGGACTCCAAAAAGGCCTAACTATATCATGCCGACGTTTTTCTTTGAGATGTTCAATGAAAACTTGAAGGAAAATGCAGTTGAGCAGAACTTTGGATTCTTCTTCCCCAATATGCAACCTGTCTATCCGTTTTGGTGATTTTAATATTACTGTTGGCTTCTTTGGTTTTCTCTAAAGACATTTATCTAGTTATCCCTTAAAATAAAGTGGAAGATTTGTCTGTATAAGATACAATATTTTGTAATATTGGAAGTTTTTTTTGTAAACTTCACTAGATTACTTCAATAAACCCAAGAGTTTTTCTTAATTTTCTTCTTTTAAAAATATATTTTTTATTAATGCAAAGTTTAATTTATTGATTCATATAATTATCCTTGATGAAATAATATTTAACGGATTTAATATTCAAATTTCAATAATAACAACTCCTTCCCTTATTTTCAAGTTGTGGCTTCTTTTATAAAAAAAATACATTTTCTACTAATTTTCTCAATTTTGTAAAAAATGAGTTGGCCTCGTAGGCTCATACTTCATATGATATGTTCAAGACTAGTTGGCACGGTTCTAGAAACTAGAAAAGACTCTTAGACAACACGAGCCAAAAAAAATGTCATTTTGTAACAAAAACTTTATCTTTATCTATATAATTCATGTATTAGGATTAAATGGGATTCTAAATTAAGAGAATATGCCAAACATTCGAAGCACACTTTCTTGTAATATCTAATTAAAAACTCAGCTATTTTTTAAGCATATGAATTCTTCAAGTAAACAGTATATGCAGCTTGTATATCAATTTTATTCATCTTCTGGACTAGTCCAAGCGTTTCTTTTTTATTTATTTTTTTGTAATTTGTTATTGTAAATAATATTTTACTTTTTTTTCACATCAAACGAAAAAAAAAATTAAAAATTTAATGACTCAATTAATAACATTTAATCGTATTTCTCAAAGTCAATAAATCCTCAAAATTTTGAATGGTACAACAACAGCTTATAACACGTAGCAAAAGTATTGAGCCTTTGAAAGTCTGTGTTGTAAAATTAACTACTACTAATTTGTTTGACACGAAAATGAGTGGAATCTGCATTAAAATAAAATTTAAAAATATAACACAACTTAAAATCTGACTTACGCATTTAAGTTTATTATCATGAAATTAAGCTCTTATTAAATGCACATTTATTGAAAAGACGGTATTTTTTAACGATATTTTAATAATGTTGTCTTAAATGGGTTTTATATGGTGCAATTAATTCATAGATGGCAGAATATTAATTATATTATTGGTTTATACTTTATATGGCTAGGGTGCAAATTTCCTTTGCTTTAAATATATGCATATTATGAATTTAGGGCTTACTTCTATCTATTTATATAATTATATTATTATTTTTAAAATGTAACATCTAATAAATTAAAATTAAAATTTTAATACTTATAAATTTTTTATATTCTATTTATATATTAAAAAAAACATAATCTTTAAAGTATTTGTGACACTAAAAAAATTAAAAATTCACGTGAGAAATGGGTTTCTTTCGAAATTGGTTGATAGTTGTGACATGATCATGCTAATGGCACATCAATTGCTTGCTTGTACTAGAAAAAGCACCTATTTTGCAGTTCAATAAATAGATTGATATTTGGAAAGATGCTTCATTTTTCATTTTTTTTTTCAGCCTTTTGTTTGCTTGTCGTAAGAAGAAAATATGCTCCTAGTCCAAAGATAAAGGTGCTTCCATTGCAGTTTTGCATTAATTATACACTTCAATTTCTATTTTTTTTTTTCTTCTACTTAAAGCTTTCAGAATTCAAACTCTGATTATTAAAATAAAAAATTCAGTATTCTATCAAAAAAGTCACATAATTATTGAATATATATTACAATTTCACTAAGGAAGAAAAGTTATTTATTACCAAGAATTTGCTAGGAGGGCCAGAGTCTAATGACTTTAAAAAAAATTGTAATAAAACCATTAGTTTAGATCAGGTAAATGCAATAATCTTTACAGTTGCATTTGCATATTACTTAATCGGGTAACACCAAGTCATGGGTTGAAAGCAAAAATTTAAAGGTCTATTACACAATTTAAATTGTGAGAGTATATTACATATAATTATTATAGTATATTTAATCAATCATAATTTAACGTTGCATATGACCTATTAAAAAATTATGTGAAATTCACATTTTTAAGTGATGGATCTCTACATAATTGCTTGATTGATTAATTGTAGTATTGTAGGAAAGAGAATTGATATGGACCCAAATTGGATATCCCATATTTGGATTTCTTACCTTTTTACTCAACAAAACAACAAACTAAATTTGAAATTTGAAGTTTTATATTATTCCGAAGCTTTCTTTGCTTAACTTATGATTAACAGCAATGTCATCTCATGTAACCTTTGAATGGAAAACAAATTGTTGGTAACAATGATCAATCTAATGAATCTCAATCGAGTTTAGTGTCTGGGTCCTCTGAATTGTGTTTGTACGGAGAAAAAAGAAGTGGAATCTTTTAGTAGTATGAAACTATTAAGGCATGAAGAACCCATTCCAAGGCATCTAGAACCAAACCCTGCCACCTTATTTCACTTCTTAAATGCGTATAAACGGGCAGCATATAAGTTTCCCCCGAACCAGAAAAAAAAATAATCCAAACAAACCACAAATACACAAATAGCATAGAACTTTTGTAGTTCATCATTGGAGGGTCAAGAAATTTATCTGTGAGAGCCAATACCTGATGTATGAAGCATTACAGGGGTTGGAGATCCTAATCTCACTTGGTGTAATAAACGAGGAACTGAAAACCTGGCGTTGAGCCTATATGCAGTTAATCAATGGCGTTTCATTTGGTTGGGTCACGGTAGGTAATGAGGCAATATCAGGTTCTGGTTCAGCATATGTTTCGTAGCCATGGTCAATATGCCAAGAGGTGATGCTTGTTATGCAGCATTGGGAAAGACAAATACGACCAATGTTTCAATTGCCATAGCAGGAACTAATGGGGCCAAGCTCCTTATGCAAGTAAGGAAAATACACAAATATAATTCCAACCTCTACTTCAATATCGTTTGGAAAGGTACAACTTATGGATACATTCATTATTAGAAATGTTGGACAAGAATCAGAAAAAACCTGTTGAAGAGAAGCACTTTGAACTTTCCTATCCAAATATGCAACCTGTTTACAGATTTTTTGACGCTTGCTAATGGTAGAATCCAATTGTATTCCTTCAGTTCAGTATTGAAGTTTATATTACATTAACTTAAAACAAGTACTTGATTGAGAGGAATATATATATTCTCCATGTGCCTTTCCTATGCCTGTTAAGAATTAACATTCCCAAATTGTGAGAATTGAGCTATGCGACATAGTCCCCACTAGAATTTCCTTATTCACGTGTAACTACAGCCTTCACATAAAAATATGGGCTAAAAAGAATGAAGGGATAACCACGAAAAATAAATATGTAACATGAACTAAGATAAAAATGGAACTTTTTGATTTCCTTTGTTTTTTTCTTTCCATAAAATTGGCCAAAAATACCAATAAGCTATTTGTAAAATTGAACCCTTTTGAAAGGAAAGGAAGAAGAGGACAAAGATGCAACTTTCCAGCATCTTCCCCACTGCAGACAAAATAACCCCCAATCAATCCTTTCCTCAACCATGAACCAACCAGCCTTAGAAACCTAAAGAATTCTCTGTTATAGGCGGGTAGGATTTATTGCACTATTTGCAAACTTCACATTCAAACCAAAATCCACCCCCCACGCCTAACTCATCAGGTTTCTTTCAAATAGAAGACATAAAAAAAGGGATAAAATGAGGGGAAAATAAAACCTAATCATCTGCCATAAAAAAAAAGGAACTTCTTTGGATTTACTATGTAGGGACAGAGTAAGTCAAGCTTCAGATCCGGAGTCAGACAAGCTCAATTCAGAAGAAGCTCCATCCAAATTAGTTGCAACAGATTGAGCTAGCTTTGGCTGTATGCCACGCCAGAGTTTCAGAGATAGCCTCAGCTTCATGCACTAAAAAACCAAATGAATAGATAAAATAAGCAAATAGCATAAAATAATTGTCTAAACATTTAGAAAGATACTGATTAGCCATGGAATCAGATTGCAGATAAAAGCATAACAAATATACCAAATCTTCACGACTGTCCAATAGCTATAAAGATAAAACATATTCCATTATGTTTACCATCCAAATAATAGAGCAGTATTAGCTCCACATCATTTTCAGTAAACTTCAAGGTTCATTAGAGACACTAATACTAGGAAACAAGTAATAGAATGACTTCAATGAATATTTATTGAATAATCAGTTATATCAGCAAAGGGAAAGTACAGTAAAAAAGAAAAAAGAAAGATATATCTTACCTCCTGATAAAAAGCATTGATCTCCTCTTCTGTAGGGCTTCATCCTCACTAGAGTTCTCTTCCCAGTCAAGAGAACGAAAGAATGTAGCCTCTTCCTCATCTGGAAAAACCATAGCAGTGGAGCTCATATTCTTTTCACCATCATCAGAAAACCTTTAAGCATCTTGACAGGTACCACCATTGGTAGTTGCTACTGTACCATTCTCATTAGCATTAGTAGTCACAGAAGCACTGACTACTTCCTTTGAAACTTCAGATTTCTCTGTGGTGGAAGATGAAATATGAGGATCTGAATCTAAGAGACCAGCAGACGTGTTTATTGAGGCCTTCTTCTTTAGGAGATTAAAAAAAATAATTTCGGCTGTGGGTTCGAGCCAAAGAAGGTTTCTTTTCCACAGTGAACCCAGGCATTGGATTCAAGTAGCAGCACTACGTTGCCTTTTCAATAATTTAGAATACGATGTATCTCATATTAGATAAAAAAATTTAATTATTGATAAATAAAATTAATTTTTATATTAATTTTATTCATATTTTAAATAAATATGTTCGAATAGAAATAATTATCATATGACAAATGATCATAACTGTTTAAATATAAACAGAATATTATTTATAAAAGTAATGATTATACAAAAAGTCATAATCATTTTAATAAAAATTTATATATGTTTAGTCATTATAAATAAATTTTTTAGTATGATCATTTTCATTATTTCTGCTTGAAAAGTTTTGAG